TATATTAATACAGTTGATTGCTTGAGTGATTAAAACAGTACTAACATACTGTTGAGCTGGAGAGGGCCAGGGACTTAGCTTAGTGGACCTTGCAAGCACAAGGACCCGAGTTCTATCCCTGGTACTGAGGGAAAAAAAAAAAAAAGCTGGGAGAAAGCAAACTGTCAAGTCACTTATACAATACCAAGACAATGCTTATTTATTAGTTTCAAGCACTTGGGTTTGTTTATGAAATTGAGGTATGTGCTAAGATGGGGAAAAGATGGGGAAGTACAATCGGCTAAAAATTTTTCATTATGCTGTAACTAAAATTAATGATTTACTTGGTTATATGTCTTTTTTTTTTTTTTTTTTTTTTTTTGCAGAGGTACTGAAGATGCACTATTAAAAAATCAAAGACGGGCACAACGATTGCTTGAAGAAATCCATGCCATGAAGGTAAGGTTCTGTGTGCCAATGTATGTATGTGTTTGCCTCTCCTGTCAAACTGCATTTTGCATATGCATGGTATTATATGAATATTTATGAGATAACTGAAATCTGAATTATATGTGAACAATGTGTCATACTAAGAAAATTCCAGTATGATGAAACTTGTGTGTTCCCATGTTTTTTACTGGATTTTTCTAAAGGATTAGACTAATTTGAGTCAAAACTGCCAAACAAAACTCATCTATGTTCAATAATGCCTCATGCCCAAGGATTTTATTTTTACTGTAACTTTAGACATGTAACCTGAATGAAGTTCAAGAATTAAAGTGTTCATGTTATTTGGGAATGTGGATGGTGATTTTGGTGGCTGACATCATGCTTTGTCTTGCCAACTCCATAAATTTTTATGGGGTAGTGTCAGCATTTTATTCAGTGCTGTAGTAACTTAAAATAAAATTAGTGTTGGACCAACATGATCATAGTTCCATTTTTTTAGCCAGACTTTTCACTAGTGTAATTTTTAGGTCTTACTCCTCTTACTTTATGGAAACTTTCATTTACCAAATGACATACCATTAAATGTCTGGGAGACGGTTTTATTGTAGAACTTAAAAACAACATTTGATACCAGTGATTATCTTAAATGCAGGGTAATTTTGTGTATGTTTGACAATTATAATTTGATATATCTTCCATGTGTTGAGTTAGATAAAAGAGAAAGAATTCTCTTAATATTTTAATTGAGCTAGATTATCAAAGCTTCTCACCCTGTCTTCCTTTTAAAAGAAGGTTAAAGTATTGAATATGATAGTCTTGTCTCAGTTAATCTGAACACAGACATAGGACGTGAGTCTTAGATATGAGGTGTATTAATTTTTGAATTAGCACTACCATCGTACTGCAAAATTCATAGAATCCATTTGATATATCACTTTAGTCAAATTAATAATCCTTTTTCAGAAAAAATTAACAAATCATACCCTGTGTTTTGTCTGTCTATGAGAAGAGAAAAATCTTTAGAGATTTTTACTTTGAAGATAGCACTAAAATAGGAAGTTATGATTTTTCTTTTTCATTTACTTTGTCTTAACCAATCTTCACTAAGTTACACTGCATACCTAAATTTTTCCTTGAAATTTTTTCTGACTAGTAATTCTTTTGATCCTAAATTACTCATAGGCTTTGGGCTTCTATATAATTGCTGATTTTGTTTTACGTGGAAAGAATACTACACACACACACACACACACACACATACACACACACACACACACACACACACTCGGGGGAGGTTCTTACAATGTATGAAGAGTTGACAACAAAAGATAATCTTTGGAATAGTTCCATTTTCTAACTTCTAATAATTCAGTTCATTTCAATTTTTCTATTATTCTTGAATCTCATTATCTGAAAGAAATCAGGCCTAGTGATATTTTGCTATGTCACTATCATAGTTTGTTTTTCATTCTGATTTTCCCTGTTAAAAAACCACTGTGGAATTGTTCCTTTGTAGAGAGCCAAAATACATCGCTTTTATATTTCTTTAATTCATAAAGTGTATATAGTATGTGTATTCCTTGAATTTATGGCAGGAGTTCAGTATGTCTGGGTTTGTCTGTCTGACTTCTGCTTATTTGAAATACCTTTTAGACACTGGATTAAATTTAACATAAAAAACTCCAAAAGTACTAGAAAGACTGTACTTCCCTTGAGTGTCAAATTTCATTTTTGTTTATAGTGCTTTAATAGAATTGGTCTTTTCTAAAAGAAGCAAATACATGTAGTATTTTTCTTAATTGAAAGATCATTTGTAATTTTCCAAGGAAGTGTTATTCATATGTAAGGGAGTATCAGAGAAATAGTCACTAAGTAGTAGATCTACAGTCTCATTTAAATTTGAAAGAAAACTTGTATTCATTTTTTGGGGAGTTTTTTCCTTGGCTCGTATACTACTAGATTTTTATGGTTTTATTTATGATATACTGTCCTATATTGGTTTCTATGATAACAGGGTATTTCATTTCAAGATGACATCCTCATGAAGAAACCCAAGGTATTTTTAGAAATGTGTATGTGTGCTTTCTGGGAGATTTTTGTTTTTGGTTTTTTTTTTTTTTTTTGGTTTTTTTTTTCTGTTGAAGGAGGTTAAAAACAGTCTGACCTTTATGATACTATATAATCATAGGTTCTAATTTTATAGGGTATAATCTTTGAATCTCAGCTCTTTGATCACTTTCCTAATAGTATTTATATTTTTAACTTTGATTCCAGTGGAGCAGTTTCTTTGAGAGTTGAAGTAGGTTATCAAATCTTACACATCTTTTAAGTTATTTAACTGGGTAAGAAGATGGTAATTTAAAGTATACATTAATATTACTGAAAATGTGCGAGAAATCCTCTCAGTAATAAAGTAGAATTTATTGAACATATACTATTCACTGTCTCACGCAGTAAGATATCATTATTATCTCTATCTTACATAATGAGAAACTGAAGCTTAGAAAAAACAAAGAAACACGCCCATCGACGAATAATTGTTAAATAGTAGACTCCAGAACTGACTGTGAAACTTGCGATGTTACTTTATAGCACTCCTTTCTTTTGGTAACATGCGGACATAATGAAAAAAAACCTAGAACCACTCTCCCAAAGATTGGATGAAGTTGTTTTCTAACATGATACCCTCTAGGAAAAAAAAAGAAAACCAAGACCCAGAGCGCTGCACTGATCCAAACCTTTTAATTTCTCCCAACTAGGTCTACACAGTTACCTAAGTCTGTGTCCTCCATGCCCATCATCACTTCTCCCTGTGCTGAGACCTGTAATGTGGACTTACATATTCTTCTGTGAAACTTTTTCCTGCTGTTTTACTTATTTTAAATAATTTTTTTTCTTCTTTTATGTGCCAGATAGATTATTGAAAACATTCTATGAGTATATATCAGCTTTTCAGATCACCCTATCTCATGTTTCTTTCATCTTGTTTCAAAAGACTTGTTACTAGTGTATCACAAATAGGAAATACAATATTGGTTAGATTTTGTAGAAATTTTGTGTAAAATCAAATAAAATAATACATCAGAATAATGTAATAAGTACTATACCATTTGAACCTCACTACAACTCTGTAAATCCTATTTCAGAAGGATGTTTTCAGAGCTGTTGTAGGCTACATATCCGCATTAGGTTGGAGGATTATTGTCATAAACATTCATGTTTTTTTAGAATTGTCTGATATTTTGGATTATGTATTTTTTTAAAATAATATATTGAGTTTTTTTTTCTATGAGTACTTAAAAAAATTTTGTAGGACAAAAAATACACTATTATGTCGTATCTTATGTTTGGTGTATGTGTCAAATTGACATTTAGTTCACTTATACTTCTAAAGTAATCAAATTAAAAGTACTAATCTTACACTATAATTATTTCAACAGTTTTATCTTTTATTTGTGAACCATTACAAAGTATCATATCAAATGAGGATCCCATCTTAGAGATTTCACCTAGAATCTAGGTAGGCTAATAGATTTAAGGATGTTTAAGCAAGCAGAAGGCACAGATAAAGCAGTGGGACATCTGGCCCTCTGATTCCAATTTTCCCTTCCACGTTTTCAGGCCTAGAGTCTCCCAAGTAAGATTGGTTACTAGCTCATAGCTGAAAGTATTTAAATTTTGAAATGTCTTCATTCTCGTCCCTATGTATAACTTACATGATACCTTCTACTGTGTCATGATACCCACAGATTTTAGGTTTATCGTAAGCATCCTTAACAAGGACATGATACTGAGATCATTGTTCAAATAAGGATTTTCCTCCTGACAAAGGGCATTAGCTTATTTACAAAGAGAACCAGTTCTAGGCATATGAATACACTTATCCCTCTCAATTTTTGGAAAGTACTTCAATAGAAAAATGAGAATATTACAGTCTAAAGATAAAAAATTCATTATATTACCTTATTTGCAGTGCTGACTTTAGTCATGTGGTTTAAATGTTGTCCGTGATATTTCTGCATCATAAAGTTACCTTGTCCTGTTTCAGTTATTAAAATAATGTCAGTTAGTACTTTGAAGCTATATGAATATTCTATATAGTCTCTCAAAACCCTTGATGATACAGTTGAATCTATTAAAACATTTTATTGTTTTTATTTCTCTGTGGGGATTATCTGTTGCTCATAGTTTTTATTCATTGAGAGGAATTTTCTTGTTAAATATCATGAAGGAAAGTTAAAGTAGCCATTTGCCTTCGGAGAAGAATAGTATTATCTGTTATTCTTGATATGCTGGATAAATTTGCATTGTATTCTGGTATTATGAAAATTAAGTTGTACAGATTAGATTTCATTATGTTCCTCCCTAAATAGTGGTTTTAGCATTTTATTTTCTTGGCTAGCCTTTAAATTCAAACTATGTTTCTAGGTCAGTAGTACCAGTCTGTTTAGATCTTTTGCCTTTTGCCAAACTGCTTAACTTCTGTCCCTAGTGTGAATGGGTTAGGTCTCTTCTCTCTCCTTTCTGGGTAGCCATGTTCTCTGAGTGCAAGGTATCCTGGATTCATTTTTCCACAGCCACCTCTACCATGTTCCTGAGCCATGAAGATTACATCACCTTAGATAAAGCTCTGAAAAGATGATGACTATTTGTATAATTTTCTGTCTGCTTCATACTATATAAATTTGGACTTCTCTTCAGAGTCTGTTTGCTTTTATTTAGTCCAATTCTTTCAGATTAGACCTTTTGTTAGAAGGGCCGGTTTTTATGAATGTTTCAGGATTCAGGATTAATCCTGTTTTCTGTTAGTATCTTAGTCTGAGAGATTAACAGTCTAATGTTTAAATTTTAGGGAATTGAAGTTTTAGGTAAAGGATTAGTAAAGTGCAGACAATGAAAGAGAAAGAACCCATGAGAGTATGGTATCTAGGAAGCCAAGTGAAGAAACTATTTCAAGAATGAAATGGTGAGTGCCTGGGCTACATGGTAAGTTCAGGGCCAGCCTCCAC